AATAATTTCGATAGTGTTATAAAATCGATTAAAGATACACTACTTCTTTTAATAATTTTATATTTATCTCCAAAAATATATTCCCATCAAAACGTCACTGTAGAAAACAAACAGCATATATAATACAATTCGAAAATTGGACAAAAACAACAAAAAAGTTCACAGATGCTTTGTTTCTGGACATTTCTTAGACGAGAACTAGAGGTACGTTTATCCTTAATAACAAGCATTACACATAAATTGCGGACACTGGAATTTGAGAGTATGCAAGATTTTTATTTTGTTTTTTTTTTAATATTTAGAATTTTTGTAAACATCGAGAGATTTATTTAAACAATTTAATCTTCAATTGTGAAGATTCTGGACTTTCAAAAGAGTCAAATACAATTAGAGCAAGTGATAAATTACAATGGTAATTTGCATGCACAACACCTAAAACATTGTTTCAGATTAAATCTCAAATATGAATAGAGCCAAAATCCACGCAATCGAATTATTCTTATTTTAGCATAGTTTTATTTGTATCTACTTTGCTAAAGCAAACGATAAGTGGACGTAAGGAACCATCTGACGACAAACCACTACCGATAAGCAACAACCAAAACATATGTATTGTCTTTGTCCCTGTATGTAATGATTCAATTATGTGGACGCAGATGCGAAGGGATCCATCTCCTTATAGGATTCATCCCTTACTAATACAAAGAAGAAAAATATGTATAGAAATATTAAACAAGAGTAAGGGTCACACGTTTACATCTCTGGAATTTTAAGAACAGTTTTGGAATTCTTTGGAATTGCTAATTTCGTTTACAATGTTATTATATAACTAAGTAAATGTGTTGCAGTTTAGTTGATTTATAACAGGAAAGAATCCATCTTATTATTGAAAAAAGCAGCGCGACTTTATTTTTGTTTGAATACCTGGGTAATATTGGCCAAAATTAAACTGTTTCTATGAAGAATTACTAATCACAATCGATCATGATAAATGATGATTACAGTGTTTAAGTAAAATACTTTAAATGTAATGATCATGTGATTGATTACGATGGGATGGAGTGTAATTATAATTAGGTTACAATAGTCACATAGAGATATCTAAAGCAGGACTGACTTTAGCACATCTAATAGCCGCAATAATTTGCGTCTATGAGAATTTTATGGTGATACAACACATAAAGAGCAATGAAAAGAAGGCGTAAACACTAGAAAAGAATTGAAGTTAAGAGAATATGAACTTCAAGCTTAAAGAGGCCGAAGTCAGTCCTGAAAGAGATCTGACCACAATGCGACGATGACCTTAAAATTGATGATATCAATAAATACATATTTCCATAGCCTAGAATTACATTAGTATTGTCTAAATAACATTCATCCACACAATAACAACACCTAGCGAGAGATTATATACAGTTTATAAAAAGAATCACCAACTACAGCGTACTGATACATAATCCGATATGTTAGGCAGTATATCACTAGGCCACGTAATATTTAAGACAGTTGCAGCGTAAATATGAAACCAGTGCCGAGCTACTTTATTGAGATGTACTAGTTCTGTAATGAAATCACAACTAGTTTCTGCACATGAATGAAACGTACGATATATTTGTTCAAATATTGCTCAAAACAGCTTTAAAATATAAAATTAATAACATGCTCAATATTTGCTATCTGGAAGATAAGTCAGTGTTATTAAATATATATTGTTCGTTATGCATAATATACTTTTATAAGATAAGACAAAAATTCTCAATTGCAAAATAATTGAGATAAGTTCACTGAATTCCTTTGATTTATACAAAATCTGCACACGAATATGATACCAAGCTTCTTGAAGATTATTTTAATAGTGTAAATATACTTTGTATGTGGTACTAAGCGAACAAATCTTGAGTTATTCATGGTCATACTCAAGGTGATTTTTTTACTTGGATGATTTAATTTTACACATCAACCATCAAAAGCTTTTTTGTGATTACTTACTTAATACCATTTATTTCATATTGGTGCATGATATTGTAGGTTCAGCATTTTCTTGATTTTGATTTAAGTTTTGTTACATTGAGGTACTGAAATCGACATGTTGTATGTTGAATATTTGGATTATTAGATCTACATTTCAAAACTGTCGTAAGAAAAACACAAAGAGTTGAAGATTACAAGCTCACATGAAGATATAAATGATAGTTGAGCGAAGCATCGCGTTAAGAACTATACTTAACATCTATAGATAAATACATACATAGTAAAATTCAAGACGATAAATTGACAGCATTTCCAGTAATACTAATCGTATATTATGATGTACAAGTAGTAATTGAGACGAAAGCCTTACATCTAAAGGCAGAAGACCACATCGAACATACTAGTGTAAATAAAACTGCTCCTAAAACTACATGTATATAAGAGTCATTTCCGAGCCATTTATCCAGCCATTTATAAGCCATTAAATCGGGAAGTGTTTGAACACAAGATTTGTCTAGAAAGTTTATGAAAGTTTAAGAAACAGCTTTATTCATTCTAAGTATTACACAACTAGCAGCCATAGATGAAATACAATATCAAAATGATTAACATTATAACAACAATTTACGTATAGAGATTTGTGATGTACGAAACTACGAAGATGTAATCCGTTACTGCATACATATTTCTTTTTGAGTGTGTCTTTGGTCCTATTTTTGTTTTAACGGGTACTACTTGAAATTGAAGTTGCATCATAAAGAAATGACCTGATATTACCTACACACGATAAAACACTTAGACATCAAAACACTTGAGTGGTATGAAAAGACATCACATGTGCAAAAGACCTTATAATTATTAAAATTAGTCAATAATCAAATAAATTTGTGCAATGATGCAACAGTTAACAAATATTCGAAATTATAAATGATACATCTAAAGATACTAAATTAAAAATATAGCTATTGTTGGTAAAATTATTCCATATCACATTTATCTTGACGATATTATGATTCTCTCTAAAGATTGGTTAAGTCTATTTACTGCGCTAAAGCAGAGTATATTTCGTTTTCATTATTTCTATTAAGTTTCAACTTCATATTATTTGGTAACTGAACATGTTCAGGCAAGTATAAATTTATCGTATGATGATATTCATTTTATTTATTTTGTTGTATTTCAGGTCTCGCTGATTCATTAACTAAATAATTTTGTAAATTATTTGAATTTTACCTGAACATGTGACTGTAAAACTGAGATAGTTATCAATATTTTCAACACAACAATAACTGGTGTAAATATGTTAGTTTCAGAATTTTCCCATGTAATTTTGATACTGACATATCCATATCACGTCTTGGACCCCAGTTTTATATCAACAGCAACATGTAATAAACTGAATATTAAAAAATATTTCTTTTTATATTCTCTGCACTACATCATTATTGGTGTAGAAACGTCTTAAAACTGCTTCCAAAATTTTGGTTCTACACTTACTATTATTATTGTACCAGGTCCCTTGAAATGGTTAAAACACGCCTTTGCTTTCAACTTTTACCACCATGAAGTATGGCATACTTGGTGTCTGTTCCTATCTTTTATTTAAATTATATGCTACTTGCAATTTTAAGACGTCATCACCAAGGGTATTCAAAAAATTACTTACACTAAATATAACCAAAATTCCTTTAAAAGGATAACAAGCCAAATTCTGTCTTTTATAAGAGGTAATGTCATCTAAATCTAGCAACCAATAAATTTTGTGCTTAATTATTAGCGATCGCGTAAATTGAACATTTATCAAATGCTATTTTTGATTGGGTGCGGTTTAAATTGTAGAAGAATTGATTTTTTGGGTATTAGGAGCGAACGTATAACCTTGCTAAGGAGAGGCCTATGTCCAGCAACGGACTATTAAAGGCTGTTGTTGGCAAGGAGCAAAAGAGCTGTGACCCATCTGCTCAATTAATGGTATATCAATTTATGAGCTGTATCTAAGCGGTTTTTGGGGTCATGTCGGGCAAATTTAATAATTATTGTATAACAGTTAGGTTATCTACAAAAGTAATAGTGAACTCTTCCAACCGCACCCTCCGTTCTTATGAGTGTTCATACACTAACAATAATGCATACAGATGTATCAAATTGACACTAAAAACATCTATATCAGGCAACAATAGGATCATTCGTCTTTATCTTAACAAAATATTCTTATCAACGAAACCAAATAAACCATTCATAAACTTGGCATACTTAAATGATCTTATAATTCAACAATACATAACGAAAACATCAATTTGATACACCAATAATTAACACTATAATATTACTGATAGCACGTGAATCCACGGTTTCTTAAAAATACCTGTTCAAAGCTAAAACTATGTCGTATCTATGAATAAAAGCGATCTCACACATTCGGAAAAAGCTAAACCAACCAAGAATTAACTTGAACACACATTGTCATCCCTCTTATGAACATCCATAGTCACAGTTTTATAATAAACTGGTTCATTAGAAAAGTGTGTATTTAAAGACAGATGAGCATAAACTGGATTGGAAGACTTGAGCAATTAAGATGGAACATACGAAGAAGCTGTATGAAGAAGGGAAATCTTCTTCGCGGTTGATGGTACGGTGAGTATATATTAAAGGCATTGAAGCTGAAATATAGAAATATATAGTTATATAAAATGAAACACTTTTTCATCAAAGCTTTTTAAACTGACCGTCGAATCTTCGAGTTATATTTTTTGCTGTATTTTTTTCAAATCAGTCATCGTTCTATCCTCAAGCCTTTCGATTCGTGACACAAAACCATTTTTTACCTTTCTTTTACCTGATTTTTTCTGAATTTTATTTACTTCTATCCAATAACATCTAACACCAGTGACAACGAATACGAGTACTTAAGACATTTTTTTTAAATATTTGATTTAGGATATTCTGACAACAGTTTAGGGTACAGGATTCAGAGATGATATGACAGCGGAATTTCAATGACTTCAATATATTTATCATGAACGTGATTAGTAAATAAATGCGGGGTGTAACGGTGGGGGTGGTACTCGCGGCTGCTTGTCCATGGGTGCGCAACATGAAGGCTCACAGCACGGAGTGGTGTAAGGAGCTGGTACCAACGCATACTGAGCTGGAGGTCCGTATATTGCTGGAGTGGCTGAAATAAAAAATGTATGCAATCATAAATTTTAAGGATGAACCATTGCCACCATTACCACCTGATGAACCAGGCTCTACCATTGATATGCCATAATCCCGATTTAATTTTGAGTCGGGACAGTGCGTAACATTTCACAAGGATTTTACATGTTATTTTTAAGACCGGCCGCCGTTCTCGGTATAAACCCTCCTTGGAAATATAGTTATTTTCAGACAGGACAGGACAAAAGAAGAAGGTAGGTAAATGGGGCGAGGAAAACGGATAGTGGAAGTGAGCTAGGGCAAAGGATACCGCAAGTCAGGAAACGGGACTGAAACCCCAGTCAGTCGAACCTTTGGAGACAAAGAGGTCTAGAACAAGGAACTGTGGTTGGAGAACTTATTGGATTCTGAAACCAGGACTGCGATATCAACTGACCTCAATTGATATAATCGTTTCAGTTTTTTTAGATTATGAAAATTTAATTTAAAAATAAAATTAATCTCAATAGTTAATAACCATGAAGATTTTGAGTCCTGTGAACGACCAAAAAACTGTATTGTAGTAGTCGACTTGAATTAGGATTATACAAATTATGTACTAGTTACTCACTATCAAATGGCAGTTGATAAACAGCGTAAGGTGGTGGTGGCATCTCACACGGTGCACACGCGGGTAAGGGAGCTAGTGGGGGGGCACAGAGCAGCTGGTAACACAACGGGGCTTGAAGAGGAGCTGCTTCTGTGCCCAACACTGGAAGCTGACTCATCTGAAAATTGAAGAAGAATATAAATCATTTTATATACAGTAACTTACAAATTATACAACATGGATAGGCGTGTGTGGTGTATAAAATACACCAGTTCTGAGGCTTATTGTTACCTAAGATTACGTATATATATATATATATATATCCATGGTAGCTATGGAAATATATAAAAGAAATTTAACGTGCTGAACTCCTACAAAAAAGGCTACACTGCAAATTTCTTAACTTTTAAAAGATGACATATGGACGACTTTATTTTGGAGACCGTAAAATTTCGTCCTCGCGATTGTTCTTGAATTTTATAGGAATCTTGATTGTTTTTAAGAGACTGCACCATAAGCAGATCACATAGAGCGACACCATATTGAAACCAGGATGTCAAATGACATAAAGGGTGTCTCATGAGAGTGCACTTTTTAAATTTAGAATCAGTTTTTTTTCGTGAAAGTGGCAACTCTGAAATTTGATAGCTGTCACCTATGTTTATTCCGATTATTAAAAATGAAGTGCTTTTCAAAAGAACAACGCATTATAATTGTGAAAATTCATTACAAAAATGGAGAAAGTTACGCTGAAACCGCTCGCAAACTTAGCCAAATTTTCAGTCGAGAAAGTGCACCTAATGTGTCAACCATTCGAAGAGTGGTCAAAAAAAATTAAGAAACTGGGTCGATTATGGATATAAAGAATCCTTTCTTGTCAACGTACCGGTCGGTCTCTTGAAAATGTCTTAAAATAAGAAATTTAAAACATTTTTTGAAGGTAATAAATATTCACCTGTTTTCTGACGGCCTGAGCGACGCGGAGACGTCCCAAGGGGGAGAACATGACGCCTCCACTCTGTAACAGATGACATACCATTTGTTTTAAGAATTTCTTCTGGAGTTTGTTCATTGACTTTATTCTCTTAGGAATACCTTAAGAAAGTATTAATTAGTTTTTAACGTAACTAGTTCAGTAGGATGCTATTTTATCGAGGGCCATTCCTCTGGGTGTTAGAAAGAAATGTGTAGATATTGAAATAAATGAAAAACTGCTTAAGGAGAGAATGAAAAGTATGATCAAGTGGTTGTGGTAGAATAACAATAAAAAAGACAATAAATTGTAAATTACACCGCTACCGATATTTAACACCTCCTAAAATATATCTTAATACATTTACTTGTATATTGTTTATCTATTTTTTAAATCAGTCACTTTATCCATGTCTAATAATGTAAATAAAGAAGTCAAAAAACATACACAAAAATAGAGAATAAATAGAAATATATGTACTACGAGTACACACTTTGATTGGAACCATTTCTTATATACTCGTAAATAATTAAATACAATCACCGACTTCAATGTGCCTAAATCATGAGGAATTGTAATAAACTCTATTCCATTTTTTTATCCACCCTTAGCATTGGTTTTTCTTCAAATTTAAATGGAAGCGAAGAGGAAATATATTCTCCCAAAATAAAAAATAAAAGAATTTCACAAAATGGTGCATAAATGACGAAGTTCTGAGGTAACAAATATAAAAAGATAAATAAAATGAAAACCGCCCCCTTTCTTTGGTCTTGGTTATAAGGAAATATCTTACAACGTCTTGATCCTCGGTCTGAAATATTTATAATTACTAGTGCTTAATCCAGGTCCTACATCTGCTTTCAAAGATTGTGAAGATATTGATCTATCATGCTTGTCCCTGTTTTCGATCCCACCTTTCATCCTATCCATCACGCGTAACGTTAGACATACTTTCTTATAGAAGAACTGAGAGTCTTCCTTAATCAAATATCCAATTCAATATACAAACGGCACAAATAAAAAAAATATGTTCCGTAGACCTGTACTTCTCTTCAGCTATCAAGAGGCCGTATATTCAAAATGGCACTATTCTGCCAAATAATACACCACTTTCGGTCAATGTCATTCACGAACCGGAATGTCCAATGGCCGTCAGGAAAAAAGGCTTTTGAGGCTTTGTCATGTGCGAAGGCCGTCAGCCGACAGGTAGAAGACAATAAATAGCAGTATTTTATACTTTGTTACAGGAAATGGGAATGGCTGTGTAGCATCTGTTCGTTGGGGCGCTTTTGGGTAGCTTTGGGGGTATTAAAATGTATTGGACTATTACTTTTTATTACCTGACATAATAGCGTAACATGTTGCTGGAGGATTTCGAGGTGTTTTATTTAAAGTAATTGATTTAAATAGAGTGGTATTCTTTTGTAAAATTTACATAGAACTCTTATGCAGTCAATATCGCAACAGTTTAAGTGATCGTTTTGTTACTATACTTAGGTGAATGTCCGGGATTTAAGTGAAATACTACACCGTCCGTGTAGTGACGGATTAAGAATGCGGAATGTCACTACCCCAATTCATCCCGTGGGTGTCTTAATAGCCGACTAAGGGCGCAAAACAACGCAAGAAACCAGCACTGCAAAAAGAAGGAAAACTTGACACAAACCCTATACCAACCCGTCTGCCAATATGCAATGCCATGTAGGCCAAAACCTCCTTTCTAAGGAGAGGCTTATGTCCAGCAGTGGACTGTTAAAGGCTGTTGATGATGATTGATGACTACACGACATATTATTTACTTAAACTGATTAGACTTTTGATTTATCCAGGATCGTGTAATGAAAGTGATGAGTCAAAGTGAAACAATTATTTTATTGACTTATCTATTGGTATTCTTAGCTGTTTAACTTACACCGCTTAGAATTGTTAATAGTACATCAAAGTAGTTGAGTTCAGTTAAAACTTCAGTGAATTAAAGGCCGGCTGCCGTCTGGACTTTCAACAGACTCACTCTTCTTCTGTTCTCGAAATCTCTGTTCATCCAGTTTTCGTTTTTTTTTTAATTCGACATAACTTCAGTTTACACAAGATTTAAGTTACAGCTTCATATACATCAAAATCTGGTACGTAAGGAAAATCTGACCTCATTTATTAGTATTTCTTCCGAACACAAGAGCAGTGGACTATCAAAGGCCATTGATGTGATGAAATGAAAATATTTAACCTAGTCATTTTTAAGTAAATGTTATTCGAAGTAAATACTTATCTTTGATCATCTATATTTGACTGGCCTGTTTGTCTAGATACCCTGACTGCTGAGACAGAGGTCGTGGGTTCGATTCCCACCCAGGAGAAATAGTTTTTTTGATGATCACGATCATTTGTTATGCATCTATGATATGTATGTATTTAGATATATTTCTGTAAGTCTATTAGCAACCCGGTTATCAAAGCTCTATCGTTTGGTTTATAAAATGTATGATTTTTTTATAAATATAGAACGGTTATAAGGTGATTGAATGAGAAATTTCAGAAGCAATTTTACTTAAACTATTTTTCTAAACATCGTCTTCATCATCAACAGCCTTTACTAGTCCACTTTTGGACGTAGGCCTCTCCTTAGAAAGAAGGTTCTGGCCTACTATACCACGCTGGCCAGACCGGTTGGTATAGGGTTTGTGTCAAGTTTTCCTTCTCTGTGCAGTGTTGTATTTTTCTAAACCCTACGAATTGAATAACTTTGTTTGTTTTATGAGTAAGTTTTATATATTTATTTTTGTATCAGTCCTAACTTTCAGGGTTGAGCAACAATATATACTTTTATCATAATTTAACTTCAACTTGTAAAGTAAACATCTACTGAGACCTATATTCATGGAATTTTTTATTATGGAGGAAAAGTTGCTGAGAAATCTTAGCTTCGCCTCCTGAAACGATCACTACTTAACAACAAGAAACTTGAATATATGTATTTATCGCAAGAATCCTACAAACTTAGGCTATTAGTATTCATAAGTTTAGTTCCAAGTGTAAATAGATTCCAAGTACGTTGACTGAACACTCTTCAGAAGCAACACTTATAGTGAAAGTGATTCAAGGGTTGTCAGCCAGAACTTTTTGTGACCTTTTTTGACAATTGTTTGTCAAAGACGATGAAACGAGGTATCATCACCTCGTTTCATCGTTTTATTGTAAAAAATTTACGCCATTTAAAATATTATACAAAGTACGTTTAAGGTTTTTTTTTTGTAATGTATGAGACGTGAGAAACATTGAAAACAAAAGTAACGTGTTTTAGTCTTTAGTGAACATTTTATGATTAAATTAACATGAATCACTAAATTTAATTGAATACCAATTAAACACTAATTTTATCACCACACCTGCCTCTATAAGTATCCTATTCGCCTTCACTTCAATTATCCTATTCACTTTGGTCGTTTTAACGTCTCGCTTCCCCCACTTCGCAAGTAACTAATAATAACTTTAACTTGAGAAATATTTTACAAGGCCGTCTGTGTTGTAACATCACTGTAACACTTTAATATTTAGTAGATAATTTGTCACGCTACTAAGATGCATTGCACTATAAAACATACTTCAGTATATATATTCATTGTTCTGCTGTCTGTAACACTGTAAGGTCGATACGTCTGTAATATGCTGATTACATTATAATACTAATCAAATCAAGAAGTCGTTTTAATTTCAATCATTATATACACATAAAATATAAGTTAGTTGTTGTTGTTAAAAAGACAACTCCCGCACTAGAAATATATCCTGTGTGGTGGGGGACTTTACAAACATACTCGTACATGACACGGGTACAAATAACACCCAGAGTTAGAGGAACAATTGATGGATCACACAAATTGTCGTCCGATGTATGGATCTAACCCATAACACTCAGCGTAGTAGTAAGCGGCGTGGCGACCGCTTAAACCACTACGCCATCCGTGCAGTCAATTGTCAAATGATAATTCAATTATTTAAGTCAATATTTTTTTAAAATTAAAAGGAGAAAGTCTGCATTTAAAGTAAATGACTCTTAGAATACAATTATTTGTCGGGTCTGTACACTTTTTTATATCTACAGGCCCGAGATACAATACGAATATGAATAGTGACAACTCTGTATATACGACTAAACCACCTAATAAAAGATAAAAGTTCAAGAATAAGTCTCGAATATTCTTTGCCACATTTTCTTGGACTTTCGAGACGCTGAATCGGTAGATTTGTTATTAAAAAGTCTGTGTAGCGATATCAATTCTGTGAAAGGGGTCCGTATAAAGTTTCGATTGTGACGTCAGCATTTTAGGGTAATACTAGCTTGGAAGAAATATAGACGGACGATATTAAAATAGAGATTGGAATATTTAAACTCAATGTATACGGTATTAAATAGTATTGTTAGAGGTTTACAGGAGGTGGCTGGGGCTTGATTCTGCTATGTAAATTTAAATTTTATGTAAATTGATTTAAGGTTACAAATGTTTACAAATTTGGTTACACTATTATTAAAGACATATACGCTGAAAAAGGTACACCATCGTGCTTCACATCATCATCACATCAACAGCCTTCTAGGTGAAAAGCATTTAAAAAATTGCTGTCGTGTCAATTGCTTAACAGACTCTATTTTAAAGAGAGTGGACTAGTTACTTGTTAAGAAATCGCTCAAAATAAAAACCTTTTGTTATGTTATTGCAATACGGTACCCTAAAAATCAGCCCCTTGAAAAGGTCACGCTCTCTCATTGTTAGAGAATATTTGAGAAAAAACCTTTTCAAAGATTTTCTTTTAATATTTTTAGGAAGGATTTTGATACTTCTCAACCAAGATTGTGAGGACATTGTAATGACAATTTTAATATTATAAGCGTTATATAAAGTTTAAAGGCTTACGGCCATGATGAATAAAATAATTAATTACCACTAAGCCTTCCAGCGGAGTGTGGTGTATAGAACAAGTAGGTATAAAACAAGATTAAATTAATTTCGATTTTCAGCCAATCCTAATATGGACTTGTGCCTACAAGTACTTTGACTGCACTGCGTAGTGTTCTAAGCGGTCACCTCTCCGCTTCCTACTGCGCTGAGTGTTGTGGATTCGATCCCCACATGGGACAACACTTTGTGAGATCCACAAATTGTTTTTCTGAGTCTGAGTGTCCGTTTCATGTATGTTTGTAAGACAAGTTTGTAAGACACACACAGACGTTAAGTTGGTTTGTCTACCCTCCAAAAACTCATAAAGCGCTGCACTGATTGAGCTCAAGTTTTGACATGATAAACAAACCGTTTCAAAGATTGTTTTCATCTATTTTTAACGTCATATTTGTTCCTCAGTTCTCACCAATGCAACCACTGTCACAGTTCGCTGTGGTAGGGTACAGCTTTGTAGTATTAGATACAAGGAAAGAGTAAAAATTAATAAATCTTCATTCCTCACGTTAACAATGGAAATTAATACGTTTTTAAATATAAAAATTAAAATATAAATGGGAAAATAATGACGAGAGTAAGAGGAGAAAGGTAGCCGAGTACATTTCAATTACTGTTGCGCGTATTATGGAAAAAAAAAGAAAATTGCCGCGACAATACCGAAATGAAAAGTAAAGCCAACCATTTTTATTTTTTTCTGTGAAATCCGTTTAGGGTTGACACGCGTTCACGAGACAGTTTTGGCAAACTAAAAATCAAATCAAAATCGTGATAGATTGATTGAGAAGGAACCGCTATTTTTAAGTGATTATTCTATTCTACCCTACTATATTTTGGTTTCAGAGCAAGCTCAACGCCAAACCGTATAATATACCTAAAAATGGCACATGTTTTATGATACACTCTTTAAGCTGTTGTTGTAATACAGCAAGCTTATAAAACATCTAATGCAGGCATAAAAAGATGGACTACTAATAATAA